ACATGTTTAAGCCGCAGACAATCTGGCCTTGATTCGAATAAGCTGGAATGTCAAGCTGAACTATCATTTATAAACGCACATATTCAATCCGTTGCTTTTGATTCCAAGGTGCGTGTGAAATCGATCACCGGGGCCGTTTAACCAATTTTTATTTTACCTTTGCCTACACGAATTACGTATAGAATTACTGTGTGTCAAAAACCAACTTTGTATTTATGTGGAACTGCATTTTGTAATAATTCAATAAAACTTTCATGTCGTTATCAAAATTAGTAGACTTAAAAATAGTAGATTTTGTATATGGCAAGGTTCCACCCTCGTTTAATTTTTGAGAACTAAATAGTACAGAGCTGTAAAAGTAGAAGCTCGAAAGTAATTATGGTGCAATTAATTTCGATGGATATTTGTTAATAACAAATAGCTTTTATAAATCTGTGATCTTACCTCAATCTGCTGCTAAAGTAGTAATAATCATTGTACAAGTTCAAAAAGTCGTGCAATCAAAATGTATTTTTATTACTCCACTAAGTAATTGTCATTTTACAATTTACGTAACATTCCAAAATTACATTACAAATGTAAGAGTCTGATTTTATGTATTATTAATTTGTTTGTTGTTATATCGTAACCGGGATTATTTCGTAAGTAGCCGTAATATTGGAAATTGTTACAGTTATAAATTGGTGCTCGTATTTTTACCTCTAATTTTACTAATCCTGGTTGCGATAGATTTTGTTATTTCTCATAATTTAGGGGCCATGTTGTGTAAATGATGAGTGTAAATGTTTTTGTTCCATTTAGTTTTAATGTAAAGCAAAATCCATCACAATTTATTTATTGGCAGTATTATCTTATGATATTTATTTTTCATTTTTAACACAATAAAAATTATTCTTGTTAAATTTTTTCATTGTATTTGCTAATTTGCCAAATAAAGTGTCCATTTCTTAGGATATATTTGACCATATCCTTTTCTGAACTGTGCTTGATGATCATTGTAATCTTTCATGGTGGAGGGATTTGTACACCATCATATACTACTGGGTGGGTAAGTCAAGAGGAGGGGATTTTTACCGATTAATGTATTGCATACAGTAGCAACCAATCTGCTTTGCCTCCCATTTCATTGCTGTGGACGATTTTCTGAAACATTCTAGCAATCATGTTTTGCAGAGTTTAACTTCTTACATGCTGTAAACAATTAGCTTATAGCGACCTCTATGTTTCCCTCTATTAAAAGGGGTTCTTTCATCTGCCATGCTTCGATTTGAAGTAATGGAAACTTATTAGTGTTGGGTGTTGAAGTTAGGTTTATCATTTATCAAGTTATGAAAAGACTATTACTTCAGGCACTATCCTTTAAAATGCAATTTCTTGTGGTGGGCGACCTTCCCCTGTAATTTTGTCTGACCCATAAGTACCCAGTCTGCCCCTGCTACAGAGAAACGAAATTTCCAAGTTGGTATTACTCCAGCTTCAACTTTAGTATAATAACACCCTGTTCTTCCACTTATTAACCGGATTATGTCATACGGGTCCCTATTATCGGTTGCGACTTGAGGGTGGCGGGTAACCTTTTTATGGATGGCGCTCAGCTACAGACTTTGTCCAGGTTCTTATCGTCCATGACTCTTGCTTTACTAAGTCCCATCCGAAATTTAAGGTCATCTCTTTTGTTCGCAGATCATTCTGCTGGTTTCACAATAATTCCCTGTATGGCCAATAGCATAGAGTAAATTACATTATTTACTCTATGCCAATAGATAGCTTTTCACATAGTTCAACCAGGTTCAGACCCATCTCTCTCTCTCAATAAAGGATAGGACTCGGTTTATGCTAAGTTGCTTCACTCTCCCTGGTTCCAGATAGCTGTCGCCAAGGAGCTGATGTCTGTCTTTGACCAAGGCCCCACAGTGACAAACTGCATGCTCGGTAGTTTCATCTGCCTCGCCACAGAATTTGCACCCCACTGTTGTGCGGGGGATAGTTGACTATCCACTGCTCTGTGAGGACACCAATGATCTTGAAGCATTATGCGGGTCACTCTGTAATTGGGCGCATGCCTGTTGAGGGCCCAAAAACAAGAGAGGGATAATAAAATAAAAAAAAATCTTCCTAATCTGGCTACTATTCAGTTTTAGAAGACCGATGTTTGCCAAGGGGCCCCTGGAATGTCAGGTTGCTTGGGTTTGACTGGTCATCCAGTCTTTAATCTCGGCCCTGACAACGGACGGAGCAATTCTTAGGGTAGGCTTGGACCCTACCCACCGCATACACGAGTCAGCTCGTACGCCGTATGCTGACAAAGGGAGAAGCTGATGTTAGCTCTTGGTCGATCTCCATATATTCCCGTTCCCCTTTCCGTTATTAGGGATCCGTCTGTAAACCACACAACCCCTCAGCGTTTGAGGAACGGGTAATCTGAGTTCAGCCACTGCTCCATATTTGGGAGATTGACTTTATATAACTCTTTGGTCTTGATAAGGCCGCCCTTCTTGCGAGGCCGAGATCGATTCTGAGGGTTTCCTCCCAGATCCGCTTGCGCCCAAGGCTGCCTCGAGTCTTCGACTCGTCCCTATCATTTAGCCCTATTCGATTCTATTCATAAGGGGAGCCGGACTAGGCATAGCAAAGGCCTATTGTACCTACCCCCTTTTCTTTGCAACCAGGTTTAGAGCCTGTTCCTTTCAATAAAGGATAGGACCTTGTTGAGCCTAAGTTAGTATGATCCTCCTCGGTTCCTGATAACTCTCGCCAAGGATCTATCTCTGATCAGGGCGTTACAGTGACAGATCACATGCTCGGTATAGGTTTATCTCCCTCGCCATAGAACCTGCACGTTGACTTTCGTACCAGCTGAATGTTGTGAAGGTGGTAGTTGACTATTGAGTGCTCCATGTTGAGGACACCACAGTGATCTTAATCTGGTTTCTATTCAATTTTAGAAGCTTGAAGACCCAGATTTGCCAAGGGTCCCTCTTAAAAAGGCGCTTCCAGTAGCTTATTGCCACTGGGCCTGAAATAGACTGGTCATTCTATCTTTAATCATGACCCAGATACAACAGATGAAGCAATTCCTAGAGTAGGCTCGGGGCCGACGAAGACTGCACCACTGTCTTCGCGAGCCAGCTAGTCCGCCCTTTCGTTGCCCCCTATTCCGTAGTCCGCTGGCACCCAGATCAAGCTTACTCTATTAGATTCGCCTTTCGTAACTTCTATGGAGATTCTCCTTTGCTCAGGTCATGATGACTAACATCTCTGCCTGAAACACGGTGCTATGCTGACCAGAGGGGACAAACTAATGTCAGCTTGGTCTATCACCATATATACCTATGTCCATTCCCCTTTCTGTTTTAGGGACCCATCTGTAAACCACACTAGCCCCTCAAGTTTGAGCAATGGGCAATCTGAGTTCAGTCACTGCTTCCCGTCCGGGAGAGTGACTACAACTCTTTGGTTTTAGTAAAGCAGCCCAAATCACATCCTTTCTTGCGAGGAGGCCATCGGCTTTAAGGGTTTCCTCCCAGGTCCGCCCATGCTCAAACCTGCCTTCATCCTTCTACTCGTCCCAATCGTTTGGCCATATGGAAGCCTTCTGAGCCTCTGCCTCCACAGCGCGAAGTGTAAAGGTTCTAGTTCCCAAGAAGTGCCTCCATTTCCAAAGGAGTGGTTTTTCATGACTCCCAGACAGACGAATCTGTACCTTACCTTGCTTCCTGTAGGTACGTTACCCTGCGCATGGCAGGCCACCATACAGGTGCACCGTACACTACGTACTATTGGCCTTATCACTATACTGTGTAAAGCCAATATACCAGTCGAGGGTCCAAGACCCATGTACAGTGCAGGTGATGAGTAGCCTTTTCATTGATGGCGCTCGGCTGACGGCTGCAGACAAAAGACAAAGGTTTTATTCACGTCCATTATATCGCGGTTTCTAGGTTATGGGTGTATGATTGAGAAAGTGTAGCGGTGCGTCTGGCCCATGGTAAACGTTGTTTGCCACCGTGGACGTAGAGGGGCGAGTCGACGCGAACCCGAGCTATATCGAAACTCTCCTCGAGTTCGGCATTGGTGTTCAAAAAAATACACTTCGCATTTTGTATACCGGCTCTGAAATTCGGGCGAGCGGTTGATTTATACCAATCTCGCCTTCAAATTTTCTTGGCATTGGTATGAACTGAATGTATAACCGGAACCGTATAAACACACCTCAGAATTTCGGGCCAGCGGTTATGAACTGAGGTTGAAGGAGTCTACGGGAAAGTCCCGGATAAGTCGAACTTACCTTCAGCTCTTTCGACAATGGTGTGCAAAGGGCCATATTTAACTCAAAATCGCCAAAAAACCGTTTCACTGATGACGTCATCGGTGCATGTTTTAAGGTTCGTGAACGATCAGTGTATCGATCAAATTTTGAGCATATGAATGTCACCTCAACTTTTTACGGACTACTCGACTACCTCAAAACCTGCCGTGACTATTTTTACCATTATATTGAATTATGGGGTTGTATTTTTCTTCAGGCGTGATGTTTACAATTTCAAGGTCAATTTTTTGTTTTCAAAAATTTTCTTTTTATCTTACGTTCATATTCATTTTTCTTAGTTTCATCACAACTCATTCACGGATTTGCAACTGTTACACTGTCATTGCCCACCATATTGGCGAATTTCAAATCTAAACAGTCCCGTTTTCAAAGTAGGTGGCTGAAGCAAGCACGGCTCTGGTCTTTGTTGAGCTACGCCACTGGAAATAATTTGAATTTATAACGTTGTCGTCTATATAGCGCTCACGCCTTGCATTAATATGCAAGATTAGGTGCACATAAAAAACGATAAATATACGATTATATTTGATTAAATTGGAGATTTGAGAGATGCCGTGGGGAGTTAATATTTGAAATTTCAAATGCGCGGGAATGTCGGCCATACTTGTTGTGAAATTTCTCGGCTCGTGATTGGGTATCCTCCCTTCTTGAATTTTTCTTGTGTAGACCCCGTGCCAGTACGAGTGCTTTGGCTTTCAGTATTTGGTGGTTACTGGTTGCTTTGGTTAGTTTAACAACGGTTAAGTTCTTGTGAATTTTCTTTTGTTATTGCAAAGTATAAAATGCAATATAACTGTGCAATTGTACGCAAGTGTTCGTTAAAGGTCCGTTAGATTTGCATAAAATTGTTTACGTAAAGAAACAATAGTTGATTGCCTGTTCTTGGATACTTGGGTTATCGTCTTCAACTGGCCGTTGAGATCTTATACCTTCAATATGGCGAATGATCCTCCTAGGTATTTTCTTACAAGGTACATAAGAATGTAGATTATGCATAATGAGAATGTAACCTTTGTGAAGAAAACCCAGTCAAATTATGTTTCTTACTTGTAGCAGTGGTCGCCAGGGCGGCACAAACAATCTCCAAGTTCATGACATTCCCGAAGATGTCCTAACTCGAGGGGCTCCTAGGTCGCAGTGTGCCGCCCCAAGAATGGTAGCGAATAACAGAAGTCGTGTCGTGTCGGCGACTAGAAATCGTCTGGAAAGAATTCAAAATAGAAGATCTGATCATAATATACGCGAATACTGCCATTCGTCGCTTGAAAATCCGGAGAGTGATAGACCACAAGATAACAAGGAGAACGAGAGCACCCAGCCAAAACCGAGAACCTCACCCAAACCTAATAATCTCATTAATCGAAATAACACAAGAGGCATTCAGGAAACTAGACCACTTCACATTTTCCATTCTCAACCCTCGACGGACACTCGGGAAACCGCCCATGTAAATAATTCCAGTACCTGTCCCCGTTCAAACACGTAAGTACCTTTCATTTTTTATTAAAAAAAAATAATCGTGTTAGTCACTTAGTTTTCTCACAGATAAGGTGGTTTATCGTGTGGGGTTTTTTATCTCATAAACAACTGCAATCAACTATTGATATTTTTAATTTATCGGTCCGATTGCTGAAAGGCATCAACCAACCTCTTTGTTTATTGAACTTTAATGCCTTGCCGTGAATAGTCATTTCCTGAGTTTATCTGATCAATAATATCGGAATGTTATGAGAAATAGTAACGGTATTTGATACTGAACTTATCATTGACGTTACTAACACAAACATTTTTGCAAATAATCGTAGCTTAGTCATGGCATTTTTTTACCACCCCTAGTTCTCTGTGTGGGAATGTGAATCCGAAAGTGAGTCATCTCAGCAGCAAAAATACAAATTTTTGATGTCCATTATGTGTGACTACCGGTAAAAACAGGTAGTTGGTCACTTCCAAAACCTCTTAAACAGTTCGTACAGGTTAGATTGAGTGACTAATGGCCGTATGCACCGAAAAAGTTTAAGCGGGCTTAGTTTAAGTGTAGCTTAATATCCATGGTAAATATTGGGACGATGGTTGCCATGGATTCTAAGCTAAGCTCACCTTAAATTTTTTCGGTGCCAGCCATAAGTGGCTTGGGTTTGGACAAAATCTGACAGACTTGAAGGTAGTCACTGATTGACATAATGACCCTCAAATACCTCAATGGTAGCTTAGAAACAAATATTCATGTGTGGCTGCCGACTTCAGATTTTTGCAAATGTGAGGGCCATTAAGTCTTACCCGAGGGGGAAACCACTTCCTTAAAATTTGTACACCAGATTGAAAATGGAAATAATGAGAGGATTGAAGTGTGTAATGAAAGATTGAAATAATAATGAAAGAATGAAATCGTAAGAATTGAAAATGAACTATTCGTTTTTGTAAATAATGAAACCGTTAATGAAAAATATTTATAACCGTAATAAGAAAAAATGAGGAAATGAAAAATAAATGAAGAGAATTCATAGAATGAAAAAGAATTAATCTTAGAATTAATAGAATGAAAAGAGAATGAACAGATTGAAAGTAATGAAACTGATAATGATAATATTGAAAGATTGAAAATGGAATGAAACTGGAATGAAAAATTCATGTACACCAAATTGAAAGAGTGGTTTCCCCCTCGGGGGAAACCACTTCCTTAAAATTTGTACACCAGATTGAAAATGGAAATAATGAGAGGATTGAAGTGTATAATGAAAGATTGAAATAATAATGAAAGAATGAAATCGTAAGAATTGAAAATGAACTATTCGTTTTTGTAAATAATGAAACCGTTAATGAAAAATATTTATAACCGTAATAAGAAAAAATGAGGAAATGAAAAATAAATGAAGAGAATTAATAGAATGAAAAAGAATTAATCTTAGAATTAATAGAATGAAAAGAGAATGAACAGATTGAAAGTAATGAAATTGATAATGATAATATTGAAAGATTGAAAATGGAATGAAACTGGAATGAAAAATTCATGTACACCAAATTGAAAGAGTGGTTTCCCCCTCGGGGGAAACCACTTCCTTAAAATTTGTACACCAGATTGAAAATGGAAATAATGAGAGGATTGAAGTGTGTAATGAAAGATTGAAATAATAATGAAAGAATGAAATCGTAAGAATTGAAAATGAACTATTCGTTTTTGTAAATAATGAAACCGTTAATGAAAAATATTTATAACCGTAATAAGAAAAAATGAGGAAATGAAAAATAAATGAAGAGAATTAATAGA